TGACTGTCCTGCTGCAGAGCATCCCTCCAGCCACATGTACCCCAAAATGTAAATTCAAGGGCAGAAATAGTATTTTACAAAAGGAAGCAAAGTTCCACTGCACTTTCGAATAATGAAAATTTAAGTAGCAAGGCTACTCAATTATAATAGTAGTAACTGGAACACAAGTGAAAGCTTAAGAGCAGTTTGGATACTTATCCTCCAGGGCTTCTTCAGACTAATTTGCTGAGGGAGTAGCATGATGCTTTAAAGGTAATTATCCTGGTAAAAATGGTGATAAAAGTTTCAGCTACTTGCCTTGCTTTTTCAGCTTCGTATTTCATTTTGGATATCTGAGGTACAGTGAAAGCAAAGACAAAGAGAAGATGAAAATACTTCCATTACTAGAAGAATATTTATTTTAGTCATCTTGATTAGCCTTAGCTGTTATGTCAAACAATTTTTATTCTGTTTATGAAATAACACACCTCTATAGGCCAAGTGTTCAAAATGTGCCTCAATTCAGTGCCCAGCTATTTGAAGCAAAATCTCTTGCATGATTCCTTTTTCCTATTAGCAGTTGAGAGCAGAAGTAATTTAAACGGCCTTTACATCAATCAGGTTATTAAAAATCAAAAAAAAATTTAAAAAGCAGCGGAAAAAAAGCAGGCACAAATGGAGCACAAGAGTTCTGGGTTTAAGAGTTGTTTGTTAACACAAACAGTGGCTGACAGAAGAGCACATGCAAATGTGACTTGGGCATATATGAATGGGGATCACATTAAGTCTCTGAAAATTTGACCTTCACTAAATTTGAATACTTCTTTCTTATGCTACCTGAACAATGTTGTACTTGTTACATAGTATCAACCTAGATTTAATGGTAACTGTGCCTGATTGTTTAGGTATTTTTATCTCTCAGAGCTCTAGATTTAGGGCTAAGTCAATGCCAATTGCTGTGGATCCTTCAACTGTACTGGAAATCTCCAATGAATATTTTTCCCTCGTTCAGTGAATATTCTCCCCTCATTACACACAGTGAAATTCCATTAATATCAATACTGGTTTGGTGTGTAGAATACACAATACAGATCTGTACTGAAGTTCAAGAATCACAATTTTGCTATCTGTATTAAATTTCAGCTCTTTTATTGATTCTTTTTCTGCCCACTCTCCTCAAGGATAAAAGTAAATTGCTTGCAGGCTTCATTATGAAATTATAAATTGAGGGCAAAAGAAAAAATCAGTGATGAAACCTGTAGTGATTGATATGCCAAACAAACAAACATCACAAATTTCCATATGTGTTATTTGCTCATTTTGTAACAGACACTGAAAAATAGCCTTTAAAATGTAAAAGTGAAATATTGTCTATTATTGTCTAATATACTAGGGAATAGAGTCCACAAGTTTAAATCATTAAACTGTAATTATACCCTGAACATTGGAAGGATTTACAGTAAAAATATCAAGTTGAGATTAAGTCAATAAAATTAATCACTCGTAACCCTGAAGGAGCAAAAGGTTTGAAAACTGCTACAAAATTGAAAGCTAGCATGAGCAAAGGGACTCAGGGAATTCATTTTAATTTACCACAGCCAAGTTCAAATACAAGCTGTTCTTTGTTATCCAACCTGAGGTATTATTTTTCATACAGACACTCACATCTGACCAAGCCATAATCACATACTGTAGAGTTTTCTTTATCTGATTGTAGAAGTTTCCTGTTTTTGCTGTATATGAACAATGAACTGCACATGGATGGGGTGGTGCCACAGAGTGGACTCCATTCTGCTCACCTAACCACTTCTATCAGTCTATTAAGTGCCTTAAAGCTGGGACTTGAGCAATGGATAGTAAAGTCAGTCTTCAGTCACTACTGTCTCTCTCTCTCTTACATGGGCCTAACAAGCATTTTATATTGTGAATTCTTTGCTTTTCTAGCAGCACTGTTAGCTCTTCTGCAGTGGCCTAAGAGAAGGTTGTGAATTGCAATAACTTTTTCTCTCTCATCTGGGTTTAATGATTGACCATCCTGTCTAAAACAGTACCTCTCCACCCCAAAAGGAATGTACTGCCCATGAGAAACTGTGAACAGCAAATGTAGCCATTTCCCTTCCATGCTCTGATGATGGGCAGAGACTTCTCAGCAGAAATTATCTAAGAAATGAGGCATGAGTATAAAAGGTTGAGAAGAACATAGGAAAGGTTGTGTTAAGGACATGAAATCAACTCTCTAAGAAGCAATTTGTAATTTGAATAGAACATGTTTTTGCTTTTGGATCTGAAGTGACCTGGTACATCCACTCTGAAAATCAAGACGTGTCTGTGAACTGTGAGACTGTGCACCACTGTAGCTGAATTTTGATTTGGCTACAGAGATTTAGGTTCTTCCTGTAGCCTCAAGAAAATTAAAACTAATTAGTGAGATCCCTTTTGCTGCAGTGTAGCATCTCTATTCACTTCAGATATTAGCCATCTGATTTTACAGCTACAAAAGTGGGGACAGCTGTGTTTGAAGACTTGGAAGTAATGGAGAGAATTGCTTAATACATGATGTAAAGTAACACTTCCAAGTGAAATCAACCAAAGTTCAAAGATTTTTTTCCAATGAGTGCTTTGAAAAACTACCAATTCAGGAACTATTTATGTTACCAGAAATAGTGAAGTAGGGGCTGCATGAAAAAGTACATATGCCATTGCCCATTCATAAGAAAAATCAAACATCATAGCCAGTATTTGCAGTGAAACAGTTTCAGTGAGAATATAACTTGTGACAGTGCAGCTCCACATGATCTGCCTGACATGGATTTCTTTCCAGAATATTTGCAAGAACTCGCTGAAACCTTTGTTTATTTATAAGATTTCCACCAAAGCTAGTTTAAATAGACATTTTTTAAAAAATATTTCCAGAAACATATAGCGACCATCTGCAGGCAAGTTTATTTCTGAAAAGACATTTATGAATTTACATCCAACATAAATAAAGAGCTGTTAGGCAATTAAGCTGGGAAATGTGCATTTTTCAGACAGAAAATAAACATTTGTTTCCAGCCAGTTGATGTACAAGTACCACAATTTAAAATGTGAAAACATAACTTTCTGCACCCAGTGTTGGGACTGACTTTCTGTTTTAAAAACAGAATGTCTAAGTGTTCTTGATTATACTATTTTTTTAATTCTTCTCCATGTGGAAGATGCTAATCTTCCACATGATTTAAAAGTGATCTTCACTCACAGCCTTATTCTTACCATATATGCAAGACCTTCTTAATGAGCTGTGCCCTGCCACACTTTTTCAGGTAAATGCCTGCTTCAAGTCAAAGAATTCTGCTTGACTGTCCTTGAAATAGGACCTAAGGAATTATTTACTTATCACCTAGGAATATAGGTGAAAATGTAACTTTATTTTAAGCCACAAATTCTTAGGTGGAAAGCACTGAAGAGTACTATAGTTTTGTATCAGTCACTCTATTGTAAAGATAATTTTGCTACCAAGCCCCAGTTTTCAGCTAGAACCTTTGGCCTGAAACATTTTTCCCTTGTTTCCATCCTCATTGATATTCCCTATATTTTATACTCTACATACTTGAAGAACATCCAGCTATTCCTTCAGATAAACAAGACTTAAAATAATGTAACAATACTTATTTAGCCAAAGATCTGACAAGATATCTTTGGAAAAGGTTAGGCAGAAACTATTTGGCTTTAAAATACTACATGTAGCATCAGTGTAGCTCCTTATGAGGAAGCTGATAAATTTTTTTGATAGAAGAGTCATGAAAGAAAAGAATGAGATAGTTACAAGCCATACTATTTTCTAAGGTATATATAAGGTCTTGGTCCAGCATCAGATCAGAAGATGGCTTTCCATATCTGTGTGAAATCCCACTCATGTTATTAACAGAAAACTCCATTGAGTAATTTCTTAAAATTAGTCTTAGAGTTACACAGGCTTAAGTATTCTTCTGGGACTACAAAATGAATGGCCAATGAGGAATGTGACACAAGGCTGTTAATTTTTCATTCACCTGAACTAAAACTGCATGCCTTATGCACTTGAAAAATGAGGCGGCACAAGTATACTGGTCTTGCTAAAGAAAAGAAAAGATAACATAGGTCTTTGGAAAATTACTTTCTTGTAAATAATACCTACTGATGCCTCTTATGCTCTAAGCCATTAAAGCTGAGAAGAATACAAACATTACAAGTTTTTTGACAGTAGAATTTGGGTGTGGTTCCCTGACCTGCTCATGGAATAAAAATGTGTTCGGAAAGAGTGAGCTAATGGTTCCTAAGCTGTTCTGCCCCACTCCCTGAAATTTCTAACAGCATTAGTAGCTCATCCACTTTATTTAATCTTCATAGCATTAATTTTCACCCACACTAATATTTATATAATCTTTGGTATTTACCTAGTTTTACTTTACATTTTGTTTTAGAGAAAGGAATAGATGTGTTGGGCAGGTCAATCAATGTTTGTGGCATGGTCTATGATGATCTAAATGCACACTCTGGCTACACAAGTCCCTGTACAGCTGCTGAGTGCCACGATCAGGAAGTTAAATAAGAATAAACATCTTGCTATACCTGCCCTGTAACTTATATAGGTACCCTAACTAGTAAAAATTCTTGACCATCAGAAGGAGGAGTCTGTGTTATCTGGGTTTGGGTTTATGTGGTACATTTTTATATTCTTAATGTTCACATTTTCATGGTACTCATCACAGCCTCAGCTAAGGGTCAGGATCCTTCTGCTAGATACTGTACAAGAACATTCCTGTCCAAAAGGACTTAGTAAAGGAAAAAGTGGAAAATGGATACACTTTGTCAGAGAGGGGCACAGAAACACCAAAACCAGTAGGAGGCTATTTGCTCACTACACACAGAACAAAACTAGCAAATCTGTTTCAAGTGTTGTCTAACTTCTGCTCTCCATTCCCTCGAAGTACTGAGAGGGATGCAAAGTAACCCTGTTGTTGCAAGTGACATGCACCACTGACTGAATTTGCACCCCTTACCTCTGGTCTCTGCACCATGGAAACCATATGCTGTGTATGTTTGGAGAGAATGGCAGTGCTGCAATAATAGGTGGAATCCAAATCCCAGTTCTAAAGCCCGTGCACTGCAACACAAAGACTTCCTGTGACAGAAAGTCTCCTAGAGACACCTGAGAGTGTTCAGGTAGTAGGACACAGAGTCCTACCACCTGAGAGATCTGCAGATAAAGATGATGGAGGCATCACTCCAACCCAGAAACTGAGACAGCTGTATCCTTCCTGTAAACTATGGTAGTACCTCACAACCTTCAGTCTCCATTATCATCAAAGAAGAGTTTACTCCATGTCTGTGCAAGCATTAAACTCACATATACACACACATAGCTTTTCTTTCCCTTTAAATTATGTCCCTTATGACAGGAAAGGTGAAATTTAACCTGTAATGTGAAGAAAAATCTGCTCCTAGATGCACAACAGCCATGTAAGGTCTTGAATACCTAGTTCTCAGGTATCTAAATCCTCACTGTAAACCATAGTAAAGTCAAGCTAATAATCTCCCAATGCTCCAATATTCATTGTAATTGATTTTCTATATAGATTGCAGTAAAAGGTTTCCTAGAGTCAGCTAGTTCTAGAGTCCTCAGTAAGAAGGACTAGATTGAAAGTACTACTGCCTCATGAATATATGCAAAGTGAGACAAAACCTTCCATATCTTGAAGAAAGATTTTTTTAAAAAATTCTGGAAAGCTGTCTGTGCACAAAGAAAAAAAAAATAAAGAAATGGATACAGAAAAGAAAAATGAAAAGAAGTAGCAAAAGTATAAAAAAGTTTAAAAAGTAGAAGCAGTAGAAGAGGGGAAAAGGGGAAAAAAAATTAAAAGAAGAAAAAAGTAAATGGAAAAAAGCAAAGAAATGAACCCATATTTAAGTTTTACATTTTGCATTCCTTAAGAATCCTGCTTATTTAAACCAGACTTTGGAAATACTGCTGTAGTTTCAGACTGTAGAGCAACAATTTGCAATGCTAAAGATATTTCCTTTTGGAGTACTAATCCAGAATCTCCTTTTTATTTCTTGATTTAAGAATATTTTAATTGGAGAGATTATATTTTTTTAGTTCACTTAAGCAAGCAGTTTTCTTCTAAAATATCTAGATTTCTGTTAGCACTGTTAACTACTTCATCTTCCTTCCTATGCACATACACGTCATGTCTGGAGCAAAGCTAAATAAGAACCACATGTTCCATATAAACATTTAGATGTTTTGCATATAGATGGTGCTTAGCTGGAACAGCTATAAAGGAATAAACCAAAAGGAAACAGTAGGTGAAAGACTCAGCATTTTAGTAAGAGAGCAGGAACATAAGCAATTAATCATTAATATGGAAAAAGAAGCGGAAGGCAACAGGAGGAGGAGGAAAGTAGTTACTACAAGAGAGGAAAAGGTTTGGTTAAGCTTACAGTGAGGAAAGCCTCACCCAACCACAGCTTGAGTCTTGTCTAAAATACACATCCAGGGCTACACTCTGCCTTGACAGAACCGGTGTCAAATCCTAAACATTCATTTTCCATGGATATGAGTACGAAGAGAATTTGTCTTTTCATCACTCCATAAATGTGCTGCATGTATTGTTTACATTTCAAGTGTTCGGAATCAAAGACAACAATATAACTCAGATAGGATTAATTGCATCTGGTAAAATGCAGAGTAACTCTACTAAAATAAACTCTGATAGTTAATTTTGTTGAGTAAACTTCAGTAGAGTTACATACATTTATCATTGTGTAACTCAGATCAAAAGCTAATTCAGTCAAAAGCAGTATCAGAGTGAGTGGTGCCAGACTTGTCAAGCCTCATACTTCACACATGAGACATTCCTCTGGCTCCATCCTGCTCTCTTCAGTGCGATGTTTCTGTCTCAGACCACCACACAACAGCTCCTCAGCTTCCCCCCAACTCTGGGATCCAACATCAGATACACGAGTTTAGATTGCTGACAAATCCTGTTTGGCAGATGGGGTCCTGGGTGAGTAGGGAGGGATGCTGGAGCACACTCCAAAGCTGGGAGAAGTTGGTCTGGAGGAAGATCCTGCCCTGCAGGAGGGAGTCCTGCGGGTAGGCAGCAGCTTCCCAGCTGCAGCCTCACTCCACTGTCTCTTTCCCCACGTGGCCCAAGACCCATGTTCTCTCTAAAAGCACAGAATTCCTGTAAAAGCAAAACTGATTTCTTAACTTCAGTGACAAAAGTATGTAAAGGAAATTACTTCAGTGATTCTCATTATAATGAAGTATTTTCTAAACAGAACCATAGGTTGACAGGTAAGGTGTCAACCATTGCAAGAAATTTTGCATTTTCTTAACATTTGTGTGTGACATCATGGTTCATAACCATTGCATTTTTCATTGTGTTCACCATAGTAATGCTCTATAAATTCAGTGGATAGTCTCTGTGAAATATATTTTCCTCCTAAAAAGAAAATAAAACTAAATACTGTACACTGCTAAAGAATGCTGTGTGTATTATTTTCTATTCTTGCAGCCACATCCAGGCCAAAAAATGAGAGGCAAATGAGAACCAAAAATTTCTGAGAAGGGTAATCCCTGTACATTACACAAACATATATAGCAACTTCTTCAGTTCTTATGATGCATAAGAAAAACATTACTGCTTTCGGAAATTTTTTGCAAGATCTACCTGATTAGTGGATATTCCATTGTTCATTAAATTACTAACCAAAATATTCTTTTATAGCTAAACCAAATTATCTAACAATAGTAGTCTCTAGTTACAGAGACTGGTCCTACTTTTGATTTGCAGAGATAGTCCTGCTACTTTGAGATTATCTCCTACAAGCAGGGAAAAAAAAAAAAAAGACAATGAGTTTCAAGATTTGACTTGCTCCAGGCTACAAAAAGGTTAAGAGCCAGGTTCTGTCTCCATTTTGTCAGGCCTGGGAACAATGGGAGCTGGGAGACAGGGTAGAGGGTCAAAACACAGTGAACTTCAGTGACTCTTTTATCTCCGTCGTTCATCCATTATCTTCATCACCCAAGTGAAATTGTCTTCTAAGGATAATTAGGAAGAAGTTTAGTTTAGACCAGCCCTGTGGCTGTCCTTAAACAAAGGTTAGAAACAGAATGGTAGAAAATAACTTCTTTATTTTACTGACATGGAAGCACATGGGACTTAATGAAAAATATACATAATTAAAACCAGAGAAAGCTGAAGATTTCCTGACTCTTAGCTCTGTCTGAAACCCCTTATTCCTCATTCAGACACAGAGGGACTTCAGAGCTTCATTCATTCATTCATTAGAGACTAAATCTCTAATGAGATTCTCTACCAGATAAGGGTATAGGTCCTTGGACTACAAATTAGAAGGTAAAAGTCACTGAAATTCAGCAATGATCAACTTTTCAGTTCACTGTCAATAATATAAAATAGATTTTAAAAAATGCTTGTATCTCAGTGATAATGAGTCTTTCTTGAATCCTCTTAAAATAAGCAAACAAATACAACTTTTGAGGAAAAAATATTTTATTCAACTTTTTTCATTTCAGGGGTCTTCCCACTCTTGAAAAAAAGAAAAAGGCTTCAAGAGGATGATGTCAGGCAGTCTGCGTCTCACTGATGCTAACCTAATCTATCAACAGCCTTGGAAATATGTGGCTTGACAAAGGGAAGCAGATGTGCTCTTAATCCTCCTGAAGCAAACTATGGGATAGGTATCCTCAATCATCCAGAATGGTTTTTCTGGTGCCCTTATGTCTCTTGGTAAAGGCTGAACAGAGTTATTTGTCATGGAACCAGAACTTCACTTGGGATTTGTGTACTTTCAGTCCTTTGATCATATGTCTCATATTTTACCTTAACTGAACCTTCATGGACTTTTTGAAGATAATCATTGCTTTCCATTTTTCATCAGAAAGAGCTACTGGCATGAGCAATCATCCCTCTCTGCAAGCACTTCTCTTGAAATTTAGGAAGCTGCTTGCTTGCTGACAGGCAAATGGGATACAGTAGGTGCCAGATTCAGGCTTTTTTTTTCAAAGAACAGTTGTTAAATCTTTGCTACTTCATGTTGATTGGAGGCTTGATTAATCCTTCACTGATGGGATCCAAGAGAGGTGAGAAAACACCTTCAATGCCAAAATGGAAGTAGAATTTATTACACCTTGTTTGTGACCAAGATACCATGGCTTGTGTAACAGTGTGCAGAGAGCAGTCACTGACTTCTGCCTGGCACTCTCCAGTACTGTGTATATGACAAGCTAAGGCAATAACAGCCCATTTTTGAGACAGGAAAGCTGTCTTTACCAGCTTTCAGTGAAACTAGTTTCCTGCTTCATGATAAAGAGAGAAAGCACCATCCTTTGTTGCTGAAGCCAGATGTCCAATCCAAAAGTCTGAAAACACCAAAAAAGAATACACCTTGTATTTAAACATGATATGGACAATGAAGACAATTCCTTTGGCTTTTGTGTGAAAGAGTGGAGAGGAGATCAATGCAGTCATCAGTGAACAGCATTATCCTGAAGAGAGTATGAATTAGGGTCAAATCAACAGTCCTAACTCTTCTATCAGAAATTTTCTCTGAGCCTAGAGTGCCCTTTATCATTATCTGTTCCACAGATTTGTCAAAAAGAGAATACACAGAGTATTCTTCACTGCAGCAAACCCAGATTGTTTTAGTTGCTGCTCTAAACCCACCAAAGCCAGGACAGAGTCATTCAGAATTTTGGAAGTCAGTAAATGGTTCATTTCCTCTGTAGTGCCCTTGGCAAAACAGTGTGTGCAGTGCAGTATAGAAACCCTCTTACCTTGACTGAGAAAGTAGTGTAGCCTTTGTTTGAACCTCACCTCCCTTACAAGATAAGTAAAAGTTTGGTGCATTGGATTGATCACTGGACAAGGCATTTGCACACCATCACACAAAGGACCACAAGTCTTTTGCAGGTAGGAAAAACAAAACAAAGGGGAAGTGATTACTTATTAATACCACATAATGAGGCAGATAGAGCAGTGGCTGAAACACAGGTGTCTTGCCACTCAGACCCACATGAAAGTTGCGAGGCTGCAGTTTCTACAATCACGTGATTTAACCTTTTTAT